GTGTGTGTGTGTGTGTGTGGCTTGAGCTGGTTGGAAATAGGCAGGATCAGATCAGCTGTGCACAGGTAAATCCTGCTGTAAGCCACCACTTGCCGAGGAGACCTCAGCTTTACCGCGGGGACACATTCAGGGACGTGAACCTGCCTCGGTGCCGTCATGTGTGACATTGACCTGCGCTGCTCTTGTGTAACGGCTGTTTGACGTTTTCCTCAGAGAAACAGACAGAAACTCATAAAAGTCAACATCACATCACATCACACTCAGTCCTGCATCAACAACATGCAGTTTACAGTTATGACGAATATGTGGATTATATATAGATTTTTTTTTTTATCTGGAAATACAAATTTCATTCCTACAAAAAGTGTGGTTTTTTTTCAATATGAAATACTAATAGAAAATCTCAATGTGCAAAATCACCACCATTCGATTTCGCTAACTCCGACCTGTCTCATAAAAAAAGTCCTGCGTCAGCTTTATTCCTTCGTCTCCACCGATCAGCGAGCAGATGTGTGATTTTAGAGCTTTAACACGTGTGACTCATCGTTTCTGTGCCTTTCAGCTTCTTCCTTCACGTCCTGTAACATTTGGGTTTGCTCACATACCAGAGAGAACAAGCTGGAGCAGGCGAGCTAATGGCAACGAGCAACCTTTGGACCTGTGCTGATGGAGGAAAATCCTATTATGTGTTTGAGATCCCTCAGAGCAGTCGCAGTCATGACCACGCAGCCGGTAAATCCAAAGCCCTGCGCTCTCTGAAGCCTTCAGAGTCGTCCTGCTGAGGGTGTGAGAGCGAGGGGGGAGAGGGTGGAGAAGGCAGAAAGATCGGAACAGGAATGGCAAAAAGAAAATATATAGAAAAAGCTAAATAACTCCTCGCTCTGCCCGTTCTGACCTTATGTTCATAAAGTTCTGCGTTGAGACACCAGAGCAGTGAAGTGAATAATCCCATCATCTTTGATCCGAGACAAAATCATATTCTTTCCAACTTTCCAGCCATTTTGGACTCAGGCGTATAATCGTGATCTGTGTGCGGGGGTCCAGTGGCGGCTCTTAGTGGCAGGGTTCAAACGGGAACTCGGTGAGTCCACCATGGAGCTCCACGGACTCCTCGGACCAGGACATGACGTCCCCGATGAGGTGGCCTCCGCAGGTCGCCTGGGTATGGATCTCGTTGGACGTCAGGACTCTGGACCAGAACTGCAGATCTGAGAGTTCGCCCATGAAGGACTGAGTGACGTCGAAGCGTCCTCCCACCGTGTCCTGAGCACACAGAGTTTGTTAAAACTATAAATCAGAGACGGACTAGAAGAGAAGAAATGGTGACTGGGAACTTTAAACATGTTAATTTATCACAAATTAATTTACACTTATGCTCATTTCATTTCCAGCATCACATCTCGTACCTGCTCCTGCCCCACGATGAAGACCCCTCCTGGTTTGATGGAGTGCCAGGCTGACAGGTTCTGCCCCGAGCCTTTCTTCACCCCGTCCTGGTAGGCCTCCCAGGCTCCGTCACGGGTCGACCACGTCACGCACACGTGATGCCACTTCCCATCCGTCATGGTTATGGGCAGAGTCACCGCCTTAACACACAGGTGGAGAGAACGAGTCAGATAAACATTATGGAAGTTATTGTCTTTTTATGATGATGTAATCAAAACTTTCATCATGGTATATTAATAGTATGATATCATAATACTGTAAAACTGATTTCTGCCACAAAGTTCAACAGTGTTTGTTTTAGAACTGTTGAAGACAGATAAAAACGTAAAGTCAAATTTTCGCCGCCCACGTTCTTTTGTCCATGAAAACCCATTAAGTAGTTTTTGCATAATCCTGCTGATGAACAAAACAACTGACACATGACCTCCTCTGCTCAGGTGATGATGAATGATAAGATTACACTCATAATATTAATAAATGAAGCGGCTCAGTCTGTGACAAGATAATAAGAAAACTGAGGCCCGACTGTGTGATGTCAGATTTCAGACATTTAATCATAAATGAGTTTCACACACACACACACACACTTGTTTTGTGTTCGTCTTTGTCACCTTGAGTGAATTAATGAAAGAGACTGAAATGAATCTGAGGATTATTTAACTGTGTCATCGATCAGTCTGCTGACTCAAAGTCTGCGACCGGACCAAAACAAGCACGACAGTTTAGGCCCGTTCATTACGTTAATCAGATTAATTGCTCTGTTGATTTGTTTGTGGAGCTCAGAGCTCAGGAGGAGGACGAGTATCAGTCTGACGCTCAGGAGGACGAAGGTTTCAGCCTTTCAGAGAATGAAAGATTAACGGCTCAATAGAATAATTAAATAATTTGTGTGTCAATCTGTGTTCATCTTAAAGTGTGATTAAATCTGACAGATACAGTACAAGATGAATTCAATTCTACCAAAAATGAGTTTTTATCAGGGGCTGAAGTTCAAGAATATTTATTTATGCCACATTTGAAAAGAACAAAAAAATAGTTTTGTAAGGTCATAGAAATGTGACCTCTGACCTTTCTTCTAATCAGGTCATCTGTGAGCTCCAGTGGATGTTAGTAAAACATCTGAGCAGATTTCCTGAATGTGTTCCTGAGATATTGTGTTCACAGGGTAAAAAATTTGCTTTGATGTTGCTTTGAATTGCAGAACACACCGTGTTTACATGGAAATCTAACCACCTGCATTTCTCTTACCTTGTCATTGATGAGCAGCTCCATCGGGTTGCTGCCCCACTCGATGAGCACCAGCTCGTTGGCTTGTCCGGGTACAGCGTAGGAGAATGGCGTGCCGAGGCCTGGTCCCGCCCCTGCCTTCAGCCACAGGCAGATGGTCAGGGCAAAGATCTCGTTGACCACGGAACGCTTCATCCTGGCGTACATGTAGTTGGTCCTCATGGGGAAGTCGAGCATGAAGGCGCTGGGGCTCTTCAGCTTCTTGTGGTCGCTTTGGCCGTGGTGTATTTGGCCGAGCACCGTCTCCAGCTTGCTGTGACCGGCGCCACGCAGACTCGTCTCTTTGCTGCTGAAAGGCAGTCGTCGAGGGTGATGATCGTTGTCATGGCGACCTTCATGGTGGTCATTGCCGCGGTGCTTGTCATGGTGATCGTCGTGGTGGTCATCGTGGTGGCCGGGTTCTTGGTGGTAGTCGTGGTGGCCGTGGTGGTCATCATGGTGGTCGTCATGATGGTCGCCATGGTGATCATCGTGGTGATCACCGTGGTGATCACCATGGTGGTCGTCGTGGTGGTCGCCGTGATGATCGTCGTGATGGTCATCATGGTGGTCGCTGCGATGGTTGTTATAGCGGCCATGATAGCGGCCGCGGGGCCAGTCATAGTGGTGATCATAGCTGTGATCGCGATGGCGACTGTGGTGACTGCTGTGGTGGTTGTAGCGGGGGCTGCCGTGGTGGTTGCTGTGATGGCTGTTGTGGTGGTTGTTGCGGTAACCATTACCATGGTGATCATCGTGATGGTCGTCATGATGGTCATCATGGTGGTCGTCATGGTGGTTGCTGCCACGGTGGTCATCGTGGTTGTCATCGTGGTGGTCGTCATGGTGGCCGCTGCCATGGTGGTCATCGTGATGGTCATCATGGTGGTCGTCGTGGTTGCCGTAGTCATGGTGATCTCGGTGGTAACCGTGCAGCTGCTCCTCCAGGGCGGTGATCTTCCTCTGCAGCAGTTCTCTGAGTGAGCTGGAGTACGAGCTGGACGAGTTCCTCGCCTGCAGACGTGGAAACATGAGACAAAATTACTTCCAACAGCTTCACAGACTCTTCAACTATTTAACATTTAGAATTATGAAACTAAATTAAGTACTCTGGTATCAATGAAGTATTCCAAGGTAATGTGAAAGTATTCTGGGAGATCACAAAACACATTGAGAGGTAAAGCAAAGTCAAAGATTCTCCCTGTGACCCTTCGAGGATCAATAGAAAAGATGCTGGACACATTTTTCATCGTCATGAAACATAACAGCAACTTTAATTCTCTTGATGAAGTAATAACAGCGACTGTATCTTGAAAGACTCCTGATGACGACGAAGAAGACCATGTGACAGTGCTGACAGCTCAGGGAAGAGGGCGGAGCTTGGGCAGGAACTGTTACCACCTTGGACAAGGACCAGTCTGAAGGAGTCAGAGGTGAACAAAGAGAATAAAGAAGAACTGCTGGTCTGATTAAAATTTTTAATTTGCAGGGGAATAGTTTCCGCCCTGCCCCCGCTCACCCTCCTCTTCCTCACCAGCAAATCCGGCTTTGTTCCATGCCAGCACACGCCACGATTAATATCCGCGTCAGGCAGGATGAAGCTAATTGAAGGTGAAGCTGGATAGCGCTCTGCGGCGCGTGGCCAGAGGCCGGCATAGACATCCTGTTTGAGGAGGGAGCGGTGGAGGTAAATCCTGGCTCCACTTCTCGAAGGGGATTTTTTGGCAACACTTTCCCTGAGTGCCGCCTGAGACCACCTGCGCCCATAATGAGCCGTTCACAGGCCGGCGGGCAGCAGGGTGTTAGTCTCGGATTGTTGGAACAGCAGAAATGTTTTTTTCCAGCTGCTGGAACACAGTTTAGAAAGTGTAGCACATGATGTCACCTGCTGTTCGCAGCAAAGACACAAAGACACAACTAAAGAAACAACAACAACACAAGCTGAAGTTTCCAGGGAGCAGGTTCCATGTTTTACAGGTTTAAACTAAAACAACAGGAATTTTTTAAAAAGCTTTTTATGAAGAGGTCGTGAACCTCTGCTCCTTCTGGATTCAGTTTTTGCTGCTACTCTTGTTTTTTGCTCAGATTTGATTCTTGTGTTTCACACCGTGACGAGTTTCTCTTTTGTTTTGTTGTGAGTTCACCGAGACAAATTCCAATTAAAAGGCAATAAAGTATTTAATCTTGAATCTCTTGAATCATTTTTCATCGTTATTGAATTATCTCTACTTTTCTGTTTGATGCTTGTGTTTCCCTGCATCGATAAACTCAACATTAAATGAGTGAATGAAAAAATCTGAGCAAGAAATGAATGATTGGGATTCATTCTGATCATGTGACTGGTCGACGTCCTCTGAGCCGCGCTGGTCTGACGGTTGGTGACGGCGGTTGTTTGAGGTCGGAGGTGATTGAGGCCTAATCAATTTGCAGCAGCTTCCTGTTTGAGCTCAGCCTCTGAGACTCAGGAGAGAGAACAAGAGCCTGATCATTTCCAAAACGTCATGAGCGTCGAGCGGCTCCGAGAAAACCAATGACCCGCTGTGATATGAGCTTTAAGGACGGTGTGTGAAACCATAACATAAAAATAATGGTTATTATTTATTTCAATTACAATAAAAGTTCAATTATATTATTAGTATTTCTCAGTGTAACACGTGTAAAAAAACAGCTTTTATTTGGTGGTGAACTCAGACCCAGTCCAGCGTCTTAATGAGACACGTCTGTCTCACAGAGTTTTGGCAGAAGACATCGTGGCAGCTGATTCGGCGGCGGAGCTCATGACCCTCAGTGACGCAGGATCTGACCCCAATCAAGTCAAACCTTTGATTGGCTTCCGCCGCCCGGCAGACTGTTCATCTCTGTGTTTGCAGACACACGGTCGAGCTTCTTAAAATGTTTGTGTGGTGGAGAAAGAGCAAAGTTCAAATAAAGAATCATTATCGTAAAATGATGGCGATGCCATGTCTCACCTGCAGGTTCTCCAGTCGCTCCTTCAGCGTCTGCAGCGTCTTTCCCGTCTGCTCTGGAGAGAAGGAGCTGTGTTTGCTGTACGGGCCCTTCCTGTGGTGGGGGTCCGACCTGTGGCTGCCGTGGGAGTAGTGGTGATCGCTGCCGTGATACGATGGCGGCCCGTGGTGCGTCGAGGACGAGGACGTGTGGTGGCTGCCGTGATGCCCGTGGTGGTCATCGTGGTCGCCGTCGTGGTGGTTGTCGCGGTGATTGTCGTGATTGGTGTCGTGGTGGTTGTCGCGGTGATTGTCGTGATTGGTGTCGTGGTGGTTGTCGCGGTGATTGTCGTGATTGGTGTCGTGGTGGTTGTCATGGTTATTGTGGTGGTGGGTGTCATGGTGACCCCCGCTGTGGTGACCCCCGAAGCCCTCACACAAGGTGAGCTTGGCGGTCAGCTCCCTGATGGTCTCCCGCTGGTCCAGGATCGTCTCCTTCTGCCTCACCAGGCTTTCTCGCAGATGTAAGATGGTGGCTTTGGCCTCGTCTGACATCATCCCTCGCCAGGGGCCGCCACTGTGGCCGTTAGTGTGGCCGTTAGTGCTGGGTCCGTGGGGCACACTGGGCGGGGAGTAGCAGCTGGGGTCTGCTTCTGGCGGAATCGGGGTGCAAACAAATTTGGGGCTCATGCCATAGCTGTATTCTATACCAGGCAAACTGGCTGTTGCTGCCGCGCAAGACAGGAAGTAGTAGAAAATAAGAGGACGGAGGGGGAAGAGCGGGAGGACGAACCCCAGAGTGGCTCCGACCCATCGGTGCCTCACAGACATGAGACTCAGAGGACTGACGTCTCTGGCCATGTTGGATCAGAGGTTGTTCTTGACAAACGAGAGTCCTTAGTGTCGCTGAGACCAGCACCATGTATGGAGCTCATTGGCGTTGGAGTCGAAGATGTCTGGGAAAAGCATGTCAACAATAAACCTGCAGGTCAAAGCTCCTCTCAGACAGACTCACGCACTCTGAGGTCAGATTCCAAAAAACACAGATACTTTATCTGTCCTGCTTCCCGACGAGAGGATCACACGGGCTTTCCTGGCTGCGCGGCGAGCTAACGAGCCACGAGAGCTCGGCCGACGGATCCTGACCGAGTCCAGGAGAAGGTTCTGGGCTCCTGCCAGCCAGGTGATCTCTCTCAGCTCCAAGGACCTCCTGAATTTAGCGGCCAAGAATAATCCCTTTAACTTTGGCCTCTAACCATCAGATCCCCGAGTGCTCCGACCTGTGAGCTGTCAGAAGACACAACACAAGAAGAGAAATATCACATTTATCCATTTTAATTATAAACAACAGCAAATCAAACAGATGTTTCCATACAGCTGTTGTGTACTCTATACATTGTACATGAGAATATATATATATAACAGGTGAGTCAGACGTGATCTGCATCGTAAACATTCATCTCCAATTATCAAACACCCCTTCAGTCTGTCAGCACTTCCTGTCCGCCCTGAGCCAGCAGACTACCGGGGGAGGGGGTCGGGGGGGTCATCACGGCTGCAGCCGGCCAGTGTAATCAGATTACAGACAATTAATCCGGTCCCAGAACCGCAGCCCAGTGCTTCACGTAATGAAAGCTGGTTTAGGTTCGAGGCGTGGGCGGACATGTTGAGCTCAGCCTCTCACTGCGGAGCCTCCTCTGCCCTCGGCCGGCAGCTGATTGGCTGTTTGAAGGCGGCGGAGTGAGGCAACAGAATCAGAGGGGAGCGATCCGGATGAACTGTCTGAAGCGATAAAGAACTGTGAAGCCAGATTAAATGTCCCTCAGCGCACATAGTGTGTTGTTTAATTATAGGAAGAACTTGGGAGGTGGTTCCCAGGCTGGACGTACACAGGATATTTAATATCTGTAGGTTTATAACTGCTCCATGTTTCCGGCTCTTAAACCGTGTGTCAGTGTCTCAGGATCTCTGGATCTCTGACTTTTGTCTATACAAATCATCAAAGTGTAGAAAGACGATCAAGTATTTTATTGTAGATCGATGATGGAAAAAGTTTTTAATCATTATTCAAGCTCAAGACTGCAGCATCACAAAATGTGAATCAGTGAATGAATGAAGTTTGTACCGTTGACATCTTGTTTTGATTTGAACTTTGATATATTTCTCAAAGTTATCACTTCTGTATAAAGTCAAACGTGTCTGAACAAAAGTTTCTTGACTGTTTACAGAAACAAACAGTTTGTTTTGTGCAGCTTGTGTTTTTACGTCGTATTGTTAGTGAGAGAAAAATTAGATTTGATTACATTTCAGCTCAATGATCTATTTTAACGTTTCCTCTTAAACAAAACAATTTTAAGAGGTCGACGACAGCATGAGGTGAGTGATCCTCACGATTAATGGGTCGTCCAGAGAGCGACTGTTTCCCTCTGAGCGTCTTATCTCTGTGGCCGATGACCAAACACCCTGGACACATCAAACCTGTGTGATCTGCACCTTCTGTGACACTCTTTACCTGATTCAACCCGACCTTCCTCAGGGGCAGACGTGACAGATAAAGATCCTGCACGTCGATGTTCATGGGAACTAAATTTAAAATAATAAGTATAAACTACACGTTTCTGTCCTTATGAAATATTCCAGAATATTTTCCTCTTCAGGACAAACAGCGTCCGGTTTCTAACTGATGTGTATCGGAAACAGAAGTTCAGCCATTTTGTGTTTAGCTGATGTTAAATCTAATTTTAATCATCTGAAAACTAGAGCTCGACTGATTTATCAAAGTGGCTTTTTACAGACGTGTCAGTATCTGC